CGGTACCACCTGAGCAAGCGGTGCGGGGATGGGGGCGGGATGGGTGGAGAAGGGGAGGGGGGGAGGGGAGACGTCCGGTGTGAATCGCTTCCACACGCTGGGAATAACAATGTCAGGTACTTCGGTCTTGAGCTGCACATCGTTTTAGTACCTACCCCATTCGATGTACGTACGTTATTTTTAGCCGAAGTGCCCCCCACGTCGATCCGTTTTCGTAAAAAACGAGAAAAAAAGTCTTGCACATCGAATTTTACCTTTTTTCAAGCAGTCACAATAATATCCCGTACGTCAGTTTTCTGATGGAGGAAATTTAAGTATTTATATATAGACACTGCAAGCATTCTTCGCTTCATCGCCTTCTCCGTTATAGCTAGTATCCGCTCTTCCGATGAGCTCATACCGAACAAAAATTAAAAACTTAATTGCCGTAACGATTTAAAGTTATACAAAAATCATCTACTCAAAAGACAAATATTTGAGGTTACATAAAAAATATTCATTCAAAAACGCAATATGTTTAAGTCACTCCTCGCTGTAGCTAGTAAGACTTTAACAGAGACAAAGAAAAAGTAGGGCGAACTTTTTCACGGTAACAATAACTAGAAAAAGAAAAAACAAGAACGAATCGATAAAACAATCCAAACTCAAAAATCTTATAACTTTTGAGGAAAAAGCCAATAACTGAGGTGATTTTGAAGAGCCTTGAACCAATTTTCCCTCGTTCCAACCAATTTCATCTAGTCGATGTGGAGTTGTCTGGCGATGTAGTTCATTATTTTCTTTGATTTCCAGTTTCGCTTTCTTCTTGAATTGGTAGGGAATACCCTGCTGGCGCGCCAATCAATGATGCGAATCGCTATTTTCAGAAGTATCGCATGGATTGATGTATTTATAAATGGATTTCTCTCCAACAACCTGAATCCGATTTTCGCTTTCTGCGCTTGCTGCTGCTTCACGTGCTTTATCCTTAAAAAAAAAGTGCAAAACTTGAAATAAGTCCACGAAAAAAGCGTTAAAATGATAAAAAAAACGAAATGATGGTCAGGAAGCTTGGCGAGATACTGTAAAAAACCCTTTTTGCTTAAAAAAAAAATAAATGTTAAAAAAAAAATAAAAAAAAAATTCCGAAGTCACAGAGAAACAAAGAGGAACCAATCGGAATCAAAATTTTAAAGCAAATTTTCTCAAAAATAAACAAAAAAAAAACGAAAAGCAAGCATAAAAACAACAAAAATTAAAAAAAAACGCAAAAAAAACACAGATTCAGAAATATGAATGTCAAAAAAACAAAAGAAAAGTAAAAAAATAAAAAAAAAAGAAAAACACGAAAAACGAAAAAAATTCTGTTTGTTGCTGAAGGAAGTGACGGTTACTCAGTATCAGTCCGTTGTGAGCTCAACAAGGTAAACAACAAACTCTCTAAGCTGCAAGATCAAGGCAAAACATGCGTACTGCTGAAGTAAAAAATAATAAAAAAAACGACGCGAGATAAAATTTAACGCGAAAATTCGCAAAAATTTCGAAAAATTTTAAAATTTCGAAAAGAAACCCAATCTTCTGCTAAAAGCCAAAGCAGTCAAACATATTTTCGGAAGACTTTTAAATTAAAAAAAGAAAATTTAAAAAAAATTCAAAAAAGATTTGAATTTAAAAAAGAGCATATGGTGCAACATATTTCGTAAAAGTTCAAGTTAAAAAAAAATTTAAAGAAAAATTTTAAAAAAAAATTTGAATTTAAAAAAAAGCATACGCTGCAATGTCACAACTAAAATAGAGAATTCAGGCTGGAATAAAAAAAAACGTACGATTCTATGAACAAGAATACTTGCTGGTATCCATATAAGCAGTACAATTGACAATATAATTCCAACCAAATTATCGCCAACAAATTTCCCTGTAAAGTTAACTGTCAGTACATAAATATTCACAAAAACAGCGTAATTTCCCTGTTTTCGATTGTAAAAAAAATCGATGACAAATTTTACGACTGGTAAAAAAACTTACAAAAATTTGTTTCATCAAGATTCTCAATGATATTCCATAAATGCGAAACAACATCAGCAACTTCCTTGATGCATACAGCCTGAAAAATTTTTGTTGTAATTTTTTGGGTTAAAGAAATATATTGGTTTTTTTTTTTTTTCAATCCACGAAATACGAATTATCTACCCAACGCTTTTGACCACTCTGCTTTTCGTGTGCAGCATGAATTCTACGCATTTTCAGTGACAAAAAGCGACGATTTTTCGCATTTTTAAGCGATAAAAAGCGACGATTTTTCGCATTTCCAATGATAAAAAGCGATGATTTTTCGTGATTTCAGCGATAAAAAGCGACGATTTTTCGAATTTTCAGTGATAAAAAGCGACGATTTTTCGCATTTTTAACGATAAAAAGCGATGATTTTTTGCATTTTCAACGGAAAAAAGCGACGATTTTTCGTATTTTCAGCAACAAAAAGCGACGATTTTTCGAATTTTCAACGAAAAAAGTGAACTAACCCGCCTACAAGTACCGTGGATGCATCGTGTACCATCTTTTAACACATATTTTGCATCACGACTGTACGGCTCACAAGTTCCATTTTCCGAACGACAGCAACGCAAACATGCATCTGCTTCTGAAAATTATACAAATGCTCAGGAGAGCCTTGACAATTTTCAGGACAGCCGTTTTTTCAGAATTTTTGTTTCCGCCCATGAAAAGCCGAAAAAAACTTTTCCAATTTCATCCGGTCCGACCGGCTCACCTGGACCGTCCATTTTACCTTACGTTATTGTAACACCTTCAGATTTTTACAATTTCATAAGAAGTTTTTGACCTACCTATATTTTATACTGTCATACATGGTATTGAGGTTTTTATTACCAACCCTCCTCGTCTACCACAACGCTGACATTTCTATTTGGAATGACCACTTCTTGGTTGGGCCTTCTTGGCTTCTTCTACCCTTTCTATTTCAAAAAATCAATAATTTCAAAAGTCCATTTTTTTCATGCTTCAAAATATCAAGTCACTAGAGCAGTTCTCAAAAGATGCTGTGAGTAGATAGAAGAATACGTCCACCGATCACGGAAAGCTAGAAGCCAAGGATAGGGCCGCTCAGGCCAATCACTATACGGTTCCCCCCTCCCCCGTTTCACAGGAGTACAGTGCACTTTGAAGATTATGCCCCTCAAGATGATAAATAGGTCTGAAACTGAAGCTGTAGCACATCATCAACAAATTGTAGCAGTTTCGGCCAAGTTCGAAAATGATATTATCAAGGCAGTACACGCCAGGAAGAAAAGTTGGGCCGGTCGTATGGTAAGAATGAGAGATAACAGATGGACGAAGTGAACTGTTAATAAAACAATTTGGCGCTTGTTAGCTCAATAAATTGCGCGAAGAAATGTGACGATGAAACAACAACCATTACTTGGATTATCAGTACGGTTCAATTCTTAGATTAAAACATTCAAAAAATTTGATTTTATTTTATTTTCAAAAGATTCTCAAAATCATTTGAGAAAAAAATTTTAAGTTTCTTAAAAATGAAAGCAGACCTTTGCTGCACATGCATGGTTTCTTGTTGACAGATGGCCTTTCACAAAATGAGAGACAGTGGCCGTTCCGGCATTCTCCATCCTCAATACAAGGAGTTCCATCTTTTACGAAGCCAGGCTCCGGGCATTCACCTGATTTACCGCTAAAAATGTGCAGTGGAGTAAAAACGACTAGCAAAGATGGGCCAAAAATATGGATCAGCCAGGCCAGCACTTAATCTTTGCCACAAATCATAATAGAAGCGTATATTAACAACAAAGTAGGAGATGAGAATTACAAAATTTGTAAACTAAAAGAATTATTTTAATGGTAAGAAATGTTTCGGTCCATTAAGTCGTTTACCCCTTAGTGCTCCTCCTCTTTTTTTATCACATAAAACCAAAAACAAACAATTTTTTTCCGTTTTTCTCACTATTTATCCCATCTTCGTCAATTTCTCTAACGCATTAGCAAAGAAGTAGACATATTTCAGCCTCAGAATGAATATCAGATAGATTTCATAATCTCAAATTCGTCAATAAGGCAGATATAAAGGTTTTCAAGCACCGTCTTTCCCAAAACCTCTCTTCCTCAAAACTCGATTACATCTTCGACCTCTTTGCTAGATCTAAATTATCAAGCAACATCCTCACTTTGACGAACATGCCAAATCAGTGTCATACAACTTAGTTCCTTACTTTTCACCTCTATTCTTCTTTCATCCCCTCCTCTCCTCTCCCCTCCCCCTCCCAAAAAAAAAAAACTGTTACGAACTTACGTGCAATAGGAAGAAAGCTGACACTGGAAACGGTTTTCATGAAGGCAAATATGAGTGGTTGGAAGAAACTGGCAATCACTTGAACAACACGGGCTATTTTTAGGTGAACAGATTGCACCGGGTCTGAAGCGACAGTCCGATGTGCAGCATCTAAATGAAAATATATTGCAACAAAGAAATTGGCTTTTTGCTTTTTATTCAATCGACCAATAAGTAAAACAAATTACCGAATTTTACCTGTAGGACTGAAAAAAACCTACACATTTTTTACCTTTTTTTCTATATTTCTTTTAAAACAAACGCTCAGTACCTACGTATGTCTTGTTTGACGAATCGATGTGTAGTACTTCTCATATGTTCTTCAACAAAATTAAGCATGATGCCTGACGAAAATGTGGGGTACAAGGGAGGAGGAGACATGAATGCAGGTACCAAGATCGACAGCCCAGCGATGATGGTTTTATAGTAAAGAAAGTTAAGAATTCTCACATATATATATATATATATACATATATGTATACATATATAAAATATTTTTATTATTTTGGACTGATAAAGCACAAAAATCGATAACTTACGTACTTATCAACAGCCCCAGAAAGTAAACCACCAACATCACACTCTTCCACGAAACCATTCGTATCATTTTCCACACGACCATTGCCACAAAATGAGCTCATTTCGGGCTCGAAACATATACCTGCTTTTCGTGATAAAACTTTGCCAATCAGACGACGTGAGCACGGTGAAAAACGCTGGAAGTGACCAACTTGAATAATAATAATAATCAAAATAAGAATAATAATAACAATGATAATAACAATAATAACAACAACAACAATAGTAAGAATAGCAACAAAAACAACAATAATAATGATAATAATAATGATAGTAACAATAACAGTAATAATAACAATAATAACTACAACAATAATAATATTAGCAATGATAATAAATTATTTCAGGAGATGAACTGAACTAAGGGTTTTAGAAAGCTAATATAAGCCGATATAGCGATGATCTCAGTCGTACAGCTGAGGGATCAGATTACGAAATAGCAATTGGTTCAAAGTTCCAAACGAAAATAACGGTTTCTCATACTGGACAAATTATCAAAAAAAAAAAAGAAAAAAAAAAACCCACGTCATTATTTTCATCATATCCGGAAACAGAAAAAGTGTTCATAACATACGAGCCACCCAAGCTATATGGTGGTGAGCACTCCACTGACATATCATCGTGTGTAGCGCCCCAATTATGGCCCAATTCTGCGAAAAAATTTTCATTAAAAAATCCATATTTTCATTAATCAGTAGAGCGCAAGTTGTATAATAACTTTAAAAAAAAAATCCTACGATGCTGTAACCAAAAAAACTCTTTTTAACTACTTGCGGGACCGAGAAGGAATCGAACTTGTCGACTTCAGAAATTCAAAATTCTTTGACGTATGAATAGGCCAAGAAACCAAATTCATGTTCACAAAAACTCAAAATCCTCTAAAATGTGGATAAGCCGAGAAGAAATCAAATCCTCCAATTTTACAGACTTATGATTCTTTGATTGATTACACTAAATGCTACGCAAAGCTACTTTCGCTTGACTAAAAATCATGAAAACTATTACCATGAGCAGTGACGAGGTCAGCCTCACGTGTTACCACGGTTCCACCATGAGTAGCTTTCGCACTTGAAAGCGCTGTATTGTAATACACAATCCCAAATCGATCGCGATTCTAAAAAAAAAAAAAAAACATGAAATAACAAAAATAAAAAAAACATGAAATAAAAAAAATAAAAAAAAACATGTACGGAGCTTATAGAAAAACTCGTGCCGTAGCGCCACTAAAAGGCCTTTTTTCGTCACAGAATGTTAAATTCGTACAGTTTTTTTTTCCCATACTATATATCTAATTCTAAAATACATACAAAGAATAAGAGACTTACCTGCACCGAGCAAATACCTCCAGCGCTGTTGAGTTCTGGCGATGAAATATAAGCCAATCCAAGAACACCATTTTCAAATGGTTGTGCTGTGAACAAATGAACAAGACAATATTTGTCGGATCCTTGGATGCGAGAAAAATTCTACAACGAAAAAAAACATTTATAAAAAATGACATAATATACCTATTTTACATACACAAGTAATGTCTGACATCGAAGAAACAGACGAATGCAGCACGGGACAGATGACGTGAAATAACTGCATTCAGTGTGTGGGAGTACTTGAGCAGGAGAACTTCTTCAAAATATTCAAAAAAAAAGCCCGAGGCTGTTTACCATTATGCGTTTTTGCCGTGCAGCGCTAGAGCGCTGCAGCAGGCAGCAAAAACGCATATTGCAACGA